CTGCAGCTCCTCAGATTAGACCTGAGACACAGAGAAGGAAGATGTTCTGAGCTGCTCTTTAGTTTTATAGAAAAAAAAAAGTCTGCAACAACATGCAGATTAGAAAAAGTCTCCGATAGTGAACAGTTTTAGAACTGAGGAAAGATTCATGTTGGTGTTTGAGGGAATTTATTTTTTTAAAATCACAGTGACTTTTAGCCACTAGGGGTGCTAGACCTGTGAGCTGATGAAGATTCCCAGTCATCCAGGTCATAGTCATTCCGTAAAAGTTTTAAAACAATCCACTGGACTGGTTTCCAAGGTTTGAAGACGTTTTGCTTCCCCTCCAGAAAGCTTTCTCAATTCAAATGTCATTTGAAGGAGTTACTAGTAAAGACGAGGCTATATTCACCCCTCTGGAATAAATCCTACATCCAAAAACCAAATATATGTCTGACCAGGTCAGTGTCATATAGCTGAACAACAACTTTTAACTTGGATAACTCTCCTTTTTAAGGGGCACATGATCCATGCAGTGTCAAATCATTCACTCTCTCCTTAAATAGATGAGTTTTAAGAAGAGCAGCAGCCTAGATGGAGCCTTGATACGAACTTCTGCACAACATTGGCTTAAAAGACCATTAAGGTGGAAAATCCAGGTCCAGAAAATTAAAAACCCTGCCTAGTTTTCCTTCATTGGGCTCTTTTAACCAGGTGATCAGCTCCACTCTGTGCTATGAATTGCAAATTGTTGGAACTAACTTCTATACAGGCTTTTACTTTCTCGATGTGGGTTATCCACCTCTGTATATCTTAAATTAAGATAATCTTTGGGTCAAAATGTATGCAGTGTTGCTCTAGAGAGTGAACATTTCTGTCTCTGTTGATAAATTAAACAGTCTTTGACAATAATAGTTCTTTAGCTTTTTGACAGTAGGACCTCAGCAGCTTTAGTTTAGCCAGAGTTATTATTACTACCAATACCAGACCAACCCTGAAAATATTATCTGACGTTAATCTGCAACAAATACATTTCACACCCTTGAAATGTGATCTGCTTTAGCATTATCTCTTGCACCATAGAAGGAATCCAGTCACTACCAACCATCCAGCTCTCTACTTCCTCTTCTTACTGAAATTGTGCAAAGCGTTTCAAAACCAGTGGGACTGATAAACAGAAAACATGTTAAACTGAAAGGTTCCCTGAAAGCTGCACAAATCATTGAGCTGTTAAAAACACTGACCAGAGGTAAGGTTTAGCTTCATTAATGATTACGTGAGTTTATTTTAAATGTCTACATGCAGCTAGATGTAGATCAATATTTTCAGACAGTAATGGTTATCAGTAACAAAGTTAATACGTTAATATTTTCCAGCTGCATTAATATGCTACTACCATCTCTAAAGGTTAAAGAGCTTTTAATGAGAATGCAAAGAAAGCTCTAGAAGGACGTGGAGCTCATAGTTATACTGTGATACCCCTCCCCCATCTGTTGCTGCTGTTAGATGCAGCTCATCAGTTTTAAGCAGATGGTCAGAGAACAGTTCTGCTTCTGCCTTCATGTCTGTTAAACTCTGAAAGCCTCTGCTCTGCATAGAGCTCCAGCAACATTAACACACTGAAATACCCTCAGTTTGTTTTGTAGACATGTCAACAGTTCATCATCGTGTTGTTAGACTGAAAAACTGAATCTCAACAGAATACCTGGCAAAAGTAAATCTGTCTGTGAATGACTTTATGACTCCAAACAATAAGAATATTTGAATATTTCAACCCTGAACTGATTCAGTGTGACTATTTGATGGAAGCTGAATGAAGTTGATTATGTTTCGCTGTCTTTGACGTATAAACTTTTTTGAAAACCATAAACCGCAGGCAGAGAAATTTGATCAATTTCATTGTAACCAAGCAGTGAAGGTGAACGTACCTTGATGAAAGAGGCCAAGAAGGAGTACAGGTAGGATCAGACATCTATAAACCATCTCTGTGAGACGATTACATATTTAAAGGTTTAAACTGTCCTACAATGGTGAGAAGATGATGAGTGGAGGAGGATAATGTTACTAATACAGGAAGTGGTCAGACTAGGTGTTCTGCATAAGATGTGACACAAACACAGCTGGAGCACATGGTTACAGTCTGAGCACCTAATGACTGTGATCATGTCCTTTTAAGGAAAACTACAGCCGGCTAAATTACGAATGTCTCTTTAAAGCAGG